TCAGTAACACAGACAATAAGAGCAACAATGAATAAATGGGACCTCCTGAAACTGAGACGCTTCTGCAATGCAAAGGACACTGTCATTAAGACAAAAAGGCAACCTACACACTAAATGGGAGAAGATCTTCACCAACCCTGTATCAGACAAAGGTCTGATCACCAAAATATATAAAGAACTCAAGAAACTAGACATTAAAACTCTAATTAACCCAATGAAAAAATGGGGTACTGAACTGAACAAAGAATTTTTTTTTTTTGGATTTTTCAAGACAGAGTTTCTCCGTAGCGTTTTGGTTCCTGTCCTGGAATTAGCTCTTGTAGACAAGGCTGGCCTCGAACTCACAGAGATCTGCCTGCCTCTGCCTCCCGAGTGCTGGGATTAAAGGCATGCGCCACCACTGCCCAGCTTGAACAGAGAATTCTTAACGGAAGAAGTTCAAATGGCCAAAAGACACTTAAGGTCATGTTCAACCTCCTTAGCGATCAGGGAAATGCAAATTAAAACAACTTTGAGATACCATCTTACACCTGTCAGAATGTCTAAAATCAAAAACACCAATGATAGCCTATGCTGGAGAGGTTGTGAAGTAAGGGGAACATTCATCCATTGTTGGTGGGAATGCAAACTTGTGCAACCAGTTTGGAAATCAGTGTGGCGGTTTCTTAGGAAACTGGGAGTCAACCTACCTCAGGATCCAGCAGTTCCACTCTTGGGAATATACCCAAGAGATGCCCACTCATACTACAAAAGCATTTGTTCAACTATGTTCATAGCAACACTATTTGTAATAGCCAGAACCTGGAAACAACCTAGGTGCCCCTCAATGGAAGAATGGATAAAGAAGGTGTGGCACATATATACTTTAGAGTTCTACTCAGTGGTAAAAAACAATGACATCTTGAATTTTGCATGCAAATGGATGGAAATAGAAAACACTTTATTGAGTGAGATAACCCAGACCCAAAAAGAGGAATATGGTGTGTACTCACTCATAAGTGGATTCTAGACATAAACAAAGGATATTGAGCCTATAATTCATGATCCTAGAGAAGCTAAATAAGAAGGTGAACCCAAAGAAAAACATATAGTTATCCTCCTGGATATTGGAAGTTGACAAGATCCCCGGGCAAAAGTTGGGAGCAGGGGGCTGGGGGTGGATAGGGGGGAAGAGGAGATGGGGAGAGAGAAGGGAGAAGGGGAGGACTGGGGAGAGCTTGGGGGAGTGGGATAATTGAGATGGAGGAAGGGTGGATATGGGAGCAGGGAAGAAGTTGTCCTAACCAAGGGAGCCATTTTAGGGTTGGCAAGAGTCTTGGCTCTAGAGGGGTTTCCAGGTGTCCAAGGGGATTTCCCCAAATAGGTCCGCGAGCAGCAGAGGAGAGGGTGCCTGAACTGGCCTTATCCCATAGACACACTGATGAATATCTTGCATATCACCATAGATCCTTCATCTGGCGAGAGATGGAGATAGAGACAGAGACCCACATTGCAGCACTGGACTGTGCTCCCAAAGCCCAGATGAAGAACAGAAGGAGGGAGAACATGAACAAGGAAGTCAGGACTGCCAGGGGTGCATCCACCCACCAAGACGGTGGGACTGATCTAATGGGAGCTCACCAAGGCCAGCTGGACTGGGTCTGAACGAGCATGTGATCAAACCAGACTCTAAATGTGGCTGACGATGAGGGTGGACTGAGAAGCCAATGATAATGACACTTGATTTTGATTCTACTGCATGTACTGGCTTTTTGGGAGCCTAGTCTATTTGGATGCACAACTTCCTAGACCTGGATGTAGGGGGACCTTGGACTTCCCACAAGGCAAGGCACCCTGACTTCTCTTAGGACTGGAGAGCGAGGGGGAGGGGGGAAGTAGGAGAGAAAAGGAAGGATGGGAGGAGGTAGAAATGTTAAATAAATAAATTTTAAAAAATTAAAAAAAGAGAGATGGGCTTACAGATATCCTGGTCCTTGCCCCTTTTAAGGAATGGGAATTGAATTGAAGGCTTCATGCATGCTGTGCCACCAGCTGAGCCACATCTCTAGGCCCTTTAATTGTTTTCTTTTTAGTAGGACTTAGTTTTAATTTTTCTATGTATGAATGTTTTGCCTGTGTACAGTATATGTGCCTGGTGCCCAGGAGAGACCAGAAAAGAGTCAGATCCCCTAGAAGTGGAGTTAAAGGTGTTTGTGGGCCACCATGGGTTGCAGGTTCTTTGGAGGAGCTTGAAGTGCTGGTAACCACTGAGCTACTCACTTGGCCCAAAGTGTTCTGAATCTAATCACTCCAAATCCTCTAGTTCTCCAGACATTTGTGTTTAACTCGGCAGTCTTTCTTCTTTTGTAAGTTAATGTTTTATGGTATATGTATGGGTGTTTTATCTGCCTGTGTGCCCTTGTACCACATGCATGTCTGCAGTCGGAGAATGCCAGAAGGGGGCATTGAGTCCTTTGGAACTGGACTTAATGATCACCGAGTCACTATGAGGTTTCAAGGAATCAAACCGTGTCCTCTAGAAGAGCAGGCAGTGCTCTTCAACCACTGTGCCTTGTGTAAAGCCCCAGAGGTCTAATCAACAATTTAGGTCATGTCCTGTATACATATGTAGTCTCAAAAGTGAAGGCCTGACAGTGAAGAGCCTTGGAGAATCAGCTCCTCCCAATGCACTGCTTTTCCTAGCCCTCTGTTGGCGCTGCTTTCCCCATGCTTCAGGGCTTCGTTTATCAAGCGCATCAGCACATTACCACTGGTTTTCTCTTTGCCGGGAATGGTCAACTGTTATTTCCTTTGTGTTACTTAAAGAGGGAACCCTACTGTAATCACTTCAAAAAGCTGGAGCCTCATATCCCAGAGTGGTGGATTGTGCCTGTAATTCTAGCACTTGGAAATTAAGGTAGGAAGATCAAGGTCAGGGCTGAGCTGTCTTGGTTACAGTGGATTCAACATCACCTGGGACTACAGGACACCCTGTCTCAGTGATAAAAAAAACCTGTGCTCTTAGTGTGGGTCCTGGGCTGCCTTGAAGAAACTGACACTTACTTGCATGGAGGCATGAGATACAGCCTCGGTTCCATTTTGAAGTAACAATATATTCAAATACCCACAGTTTGAGAAACCTGCCATAAAAAGCTGCTTGTAGGAAGTAGGAAGAAGAGAGAGAGAGAGAGAGAGAGAGAAAGAGAGAGAGAGAGAGAGAGAGAGAGAGAGAGAGAGAGAGAAAGAGAGAGAGAGAGAGAGAGAGAGAGAGAGAGAGAGAGAGAGAGAGAGAGAGAGAGAGGTTCTAGTGAGAAACAGCCATGTAAGCCCTTTGGAAATGATACCCCAGGTGTCTGACACAGAGCTGCAGGATTTAGGATTGCCCTGCAAGATTTTGGACTTGTTTAGTCCAATCTTTTCTTAATACTTGTGTTTGATAGCTATAATTTGTGTTTTCGTATTACAAGATATCACAGTTAAGCGATTGCCTTGAGTGTCAGAAGAAACTTTGCATTTTGAACAGTGTAGCGACTGTTACATCAAATGATTATTTTAAAAGCTATACTAAATGTATTTTGCTTCACGTTTTGGCTGTTCAGTGAAAAATCATCCAGATAGTATATTGTGTTTGTGCATTTGTCTCTGCTGTGTGGCCTTCATTGGTGACTTATGCAACCCTGAGGAGGAGGAGCCTTTCTGGAGGAATGTAGTCTCTGGGTTAGAGCTTTGAGTGCTTATCCCCTCGCCCATACTTTGAGTGGTTGGAACTCAGCAGCCTTCTTCTCCTGCAGCCACCCCAACACCATCATTAGAGACTCCATTCCTAAAGAATGGAAGGTAAAGTAGAAGTGATTGCTTTCCCTTGCTAATCCATTTTTCTTGCCTGATATTTTTATGCTTATAGTATTGGCTGCACAAATTGGGTTTTTGTACACGTCAAGCATTTCCTCCTGTGCTGAGCTTTGCCCACACCACTTTTGATCTTTGGTAGAGGGCGTCATTTTAGGACCAAGAATGCATAGAGGACATGATAGTGATCTCCTGAATCACTGAGTTACAGGTGTGTAACACCATCCCTTCCTTTGTGTTTGTTTTTACATTTTTAAAATTTCAAATATGTGAATCTTTTGTCTGTACACATGGCTGTGTACCATTCTTGTGTCTGGTATTTAGTGAAGTCAGAAGAGAGCTTTAGATTCTCTTGACCTGGGGTTAGAAATGTTTGGGAGCCTGCAAGTGAGTACTGGGGATTGATTCCAGTCATCTTCAGTAGCAGTAGGTGATCTTATTTGTTGGCCCATTTTTATAATCTCCATCCCTATAGGTATTGCTATTTTTTATTGTTTCTGGATCAGCATTTATTTTACTAATGTTTTTGATTATTTTACCTGTTAGTCAGTAACTTCTTAAAAATGTCTTCCTTTCTAGGAATTATTAGCCTTACAATTTAAAAGAAATTTTTTCAATTTATGATGAACAGGTTCAGAATTGGAATGAATGTTCTAATTCTATGTAGCAATTTTGAGTGAGCCCCTGAGTGTTTTCTGTTTTTGTTTGTTTGAGACAGAGTCTCACTGTGTACCTTTGGCTGTTTTGGCTAGCTCTTCATAGACCAGACTGACTTGGAAATCACAGAGATTCATGTGTCTCTTCCTCCTGGGGTTTTGGATTATATGTGTGCACCACCAAACCTATCCTTTTTAAAGTTAATCATTTTGATAAAATTTTTCTGAGTTTGTGTACTGAATAGTGCTACTCTGTTTATAGGTCTCACTGTAGGTGTTGCTACGTGGTTCTCCTACAATGCGATATTCTATCTGGTGGTCACAGAAATGGAAGGCGTCATCCTCCTTTTCAATTTCCTTCTAAAATGAATTGGTTATTGTATTTGAAATTCTATGACCTATGTCATGGAATATATTGAGTACAAAGAATTATCTAACTATATTCGCAATGAAGTGTACATTTACAATGAAGTCAGTTTCAACATTTCCATTATATACTTATACGGGACATTTTAGGATATATTGACCTATGAGGATGTGCATATGAAGTTCACGCATGAAGAGTGGGCTTTGCTGGATCCTTCCCAGAAGAGTCTCTACAAAGATGTGATGCTGGAAACCTACTGGAACCTCACTTCTATAGGTAGGAATGTGAGCTTTCTGTCACTTTTTAACCTAAGGGGACAAGCTTTTTTGGTGGTTGGTGCTCTCTATGATTTTGACTGTGGAAGAAGAAGAATTCAGCAAATAAATTAGGTATTTTTCTAAAGTTCCCTGAAGATGGAAATGTAAATTGTGCCTAATTTTAGGTAATATATTTTTTGGTACTGTATTTTAGGCTATAAATGGGAAGACCATAATATTGAAGAATATGATCAAAGTTCTAGAAGACATGAAAGGTAATTTTCATATGCAAACTGATACATATGTGCCAGGTACCTCTGAAAAAATGTTGATGTATCCTAAACTTTTAATAAAAAGCAATAGTGTAAATAAGCACAGCTTTGTAATGCTTATTAAATTCTCTCAACACCTTGTACTCTAATGTCAGGTGCTGATCATTGTTTGCAAAGCATTTCTTTAAGAAAGAAGACAAGGAAACAATGCCATAATAGATGTCACAATTTCAATAATAGACATATGAGAGGCATTTTGTATAATTGTCCATCCACATAGTTTCATGCCCATCAAGTATCTTAAAAGGAATACACATTGATAAAGGATTTAGTTTATGACCAAGACCTGTTATAAGCAAATCATTCCTATTATTACTAGTAGTCTTCAAACCCTTGTAGTGAGGGACTTACTATAGTTTAATGAAAGGAACAATTTATGAGAGTCAAGGACCTTGTTATCATGAGAAACTTCTTCATGAGGCATAAAAATTTAGACCATGTGAATGCAATGTGAAAATCTTTTGTTTTTTATTCTTCCTTTGATAGGTACACCATCTTCAAAGACACACAAATATCCAATACTCAAGAGGATCACATTTGGATCTGATTCGTCTTTAAAAGTACATCAAAGAACTCATTTGGAAGTAAAAAACTATGAATATAATCAAAGAATTAAACCCTTTTCATGTCACAGTCTCGATCAAGTATGTAAAACTCATACCAGAGAAAAAACACATGGATATCCTCAATGTGATACAGCCATTGCACACACCAGTTATCTTCTAATACACGAAAGAACTCCTACTGGGGAGATACCTCATAAGTGTAATCAATGTGGTAAAACCTTTGCACAGAAGAGTCATCTTCTCAGACATGAAAGAATTCATACTGGAGAGAAACCCTATGAATGTAGTCAGTGTGCTAAAGCCTTTGGACATAAATGTGATCTTCAAGTACATGAAAGAACTCATACTGGAGAGAAACCCTATGGGTGTAATCATTGTGGGAAAGCCTTTGCCTATAAAAATCAACTTCAAGTACATGAAAGAATTCATACTGGGGAGAGACCCTATGGATGTAATCACTGTGGTAAAACCTTTGCACGTAAAAGTCGTCTTAAAATACATGAAAGAAGTCATACTGGAGAGAAACCTCATGGACATAATTAATGTGGTAAAGCTCTATAATATATTGTATTCCACAAATGTGGGATAATTTGAATAAAAAACCTAATTTGCAAATGAAAACAATATTTATGCTGTCATCCATTATGTTTGGGTAGTGTTACTTTATTCTGGGGACTAAATACTTGTTCCTCATATTTTCTAAGAATGCCAAAGAATTTTACCGGTGAGTAAATGTGATCATTGCTAAGCATGATGGCCAGAATTCATTCTCTGGGAAACCCACATTTCTCCTACAGGTTCTTCACTGCACTTGTGTTGTATGCACACTAACACACCAGCACATACGTAAATATGTTTGAAGCTGAAATCAGAGCCAGTGAGTTCACTCACTCAGTTAAGTTTAGGGGACTTAACTGCCAAGCAGGACTACCCTAGTTTCATTTCTAGTACTCACATAGAGGAACTAGAGACCAGATACCTGTAAATTGTCTTCTGACTGGCACGTGGACACCATGGCACTGTTGTTTATACACAGTAATTCTTTTTATTTTTGGAGACATTGCTTAGCAGTGAAGGCTTCATAGTCCTGAAACTCATTCTGTAGATAAGGCTGACCTCAGTCTCAGGGATATCAATGTTCCTCTGCTTCCCATGTGTAGGGCTTACAGGTGTGCCAGCACCACCCAGCCAGAGTTAAAAATGTTTTAAAACAGGAATGATATTATCCTTTGAAATCAATTCATTGAAAAATTCCTAGAACCATTACTGTTTATTTAAAATATATAATGTTTCTTGTTTAAGTCTTATATTATCCTTTCATTGTCTGATTCAAAGTTGGGTCATTTAAAAAAAAATCTCTCCTGGGTATAGTGTTATGGTCTTATAATCCCAGAACTTGGAAAAGAAAGTCAAGAAAATCTGAGTTTTGAGGCCAGTTGGGTCAGATATTGTGTTCCAGGATGGCCATAGTTATAGAGAGAGATCTTGTCTCAAAAAAGGAATCTGATGTCTGCTTTACCCAAGAACCCAGGCTCAGTTCTCAGCACCCACTTCATTAATGACTTATGACAGCCAGTGAAAATGCTAATTTCATTTATGAATTCCTTCCTATACCCAGGATCTCCAAATGTTATTTCCAGTGTCATCAAAATGAAAATGTTTAGCATCTGATTGTGGAATAAGCAATCTATTTAAAACTATAGAAGGAGAATTGGCATTGTACTGTCTTTACAAATTATCCTGAGAGGCAAAAATAACTCCAGTTATTTGAATTTCAAACAAGTGAGGCATTTGTGCATCATGTGTATTCTTCACTGCCTTCAAACTTATTTCTCCCATTAAATTGTCTCCTGTGGTGTTATAGCACTAGAGGATAAGCCTTTGCAATGGATTTATTTACAGGATAAAGGTCAGAAATTATTAACTAGCAAATGGGATCTTTATAACTTTGTTTATCTTCAACAAAATATCAGATTGCCATACTATATGATGACATTATATTGAATGGATCAAGTGAGCAGGAGGTAGTAACCACACTGAACTCTTTAGTAACACATGCCCAGCAGAGGATGGGACATAAATCCAACCAAAATTCAAGGGCCTTCTACCTCATTAATATTCTTAGAAGTCTAGTACTGTGTGACATGCAGTGATATTCCTGCTAAGGTGAAGGACAAATTATTACACTTGTCCCCCTTCTACCACTAAGAAAGAAGCACAACACTTAGTGTCTCTGTTTGGGACACTAAGTTGATTCATAGAACAGATCTTTGGGATGCTGGAATATGGCTCCACCATCTGTAAACAAATGTTTGCTTTTAGAGACAGCTATTGGCCAGCTATTCAGCCTTAGTGAAAACTGAACATTTGACAATGGGCCACCATGTTACTATCCAACCTGAGCTTCCTGTACATAAGAAGATGGATATTATCTGTCCCATCAAACCATAAATTAGAATGTTTGCAGCATCAATCCCTTATTAAATGGAAGTGATATATTTATGATTTGGCTGAGCATATCCTGAAGGCACAAGCAAGTTACATAGAAAGTTGCCTTAATGCCTTAGGTTTCTTGTCACATTACAATTCCCTCTGCTGCTAAGATGTGCTGTATAGACTGTGGGAGGTTGGTGGGGCCTAGAATGGTTGGTACCAGAGAGGGGGCCTGGAGTGTTGGGTTGCTGCTGTGGGCACAGCAACAGGTTGGGAAGGGTGGTGTAAGCGGCTGGGGGATTAAACAGGTTGGATCAGGTTGGAGACATAGATGGGTGTTAAAGTTTGGCGAACTTAGGAGGAGGATTGGAATAGGGGCATTTATCACATTGGGTGGAGCCACTACTGACAGGGGTAGGTTGTACAGGGCCACATCCAAGAAAAGTCCAGCAGGGCAGAGGCTGGGAAAAGGAACCACAAGTGCTGAGGTGGGTAGAACCAAGACAGGTGAAATGGGCTTGATAAGTTTGGCCAGGCCAACCCTAACATGCCAGAGCTTTACACAGGCATTTACAGGTGCATTTACAACACCTTTGGCACAGAGGATTCCCACAAACCCAAACACCCATGAAGACTTCTCCAAACACACATGCGAAGATGACAACCATGCTGACACATGCATCACACATGCCCTACACATCAATATACCGCTCTCAGATACATACCATAAACATACTCCCATAGTTCGTAATAGGTACAGTTAGAGACAGCAAGCTGGGACAGCCAATTCTGTGGCCTGATGCCAACACTAGCTACCTATGTTTGCTCCCCCATATGATGGAAGGAGAGAACCAATTCTCAAGCAATTCTCTGGCTACCACCTCTGCACTGTGACGTGTACAGCTACCTGCAAATACAAAAAATAAATAAAATGTGTCAAAAATCTTTACAAGTACATAATTATACACACATTTACAGAGATATTATCTATTTGGGGAGGTACTAGGATTCAAACCGAGAACCTTGATAATGCATCTCTCCATTTGAGTTGCAGCCAGGAAGTACTGGGGCACATGGGAAGACACCCTACCAGGCCATATGACCTAGCTGCAGAGGCAGCTACTGGAGCTTGCTTCCAGGCATGAGAAAAGAAGGGGAGATCTTACACATGAATTGCTCCTGCCACTATGCTCTCCTGAAGGTATTTCCACATCATGGGCACCTTTCTGCATACGAGGGCACTGTTCATTAAACAAAAAGGGGTTGGACCTCCTAAAACTTTGGAGTTACAGATGTGAGCCACCATGTGAATGCTGGAAACTGAACTGTGTTTTCTTCAAAAAGTACTAAAGTATTGAATCATCTCTCATCCCTTTTTATTTCTTTTAAGATTTAACTTATTATTCTTTTATTTGTGTCTGTACCTACATAGTACTGTGCAAAAGTAAGATGGCAGCCTGTGGGACCAAGTTCTCTCAACCTGTGGGTCTTAAGGACCAAACCTGCCATGCTTGGTCTACAAGCACCTTTACCTGATGAACCATCCCATGACATCCACTGAGCCATGATCTTTTTGTTAATCATTGTTCTGGGGTGTTAGTTTTTAAAACAGGCTCTTGAAGTCCAGGCTGACTTTGGAATCATGACTTTTCTTAGCCCACTGGGACGACATGCCTTGTGCATGCAGAGGCATAAACATGCTGGGCCAGTACACACTATCTACCCAATGAGACCCATCTGAAATAAAAACATTGAATTGTCCCACTTGGTAATACACAGGTACACACTGAGATTCTTTCTCAACAAACAAACAAAAAACAAAACCCTACAAATAAAAAAAAAATTTAAAGATCATGTATCTGTTTTGAGAGGGTTTTTTTTCTTTTTTTATTGATTTTTACTGAGTTCTACATTTTTCTCTGCTCCCCACCCTCCTAGCCTCTTCCTGTTGTGGGAGCTCCTTCGGCTCCTTCAGCCAATAGCCGCTGAGATACTAGCCCATTGGGGCGTGGTCTCTCTCCCTTTAAAAAAGTGGCCACTTCCCTCCAATCGCTCTCTGGCTTCCAGGTCCACTTCCGGCGACTAGGCTCCTTTCCTGATTGTGCAGAGGGCTGTCATCTGGGACAGTGATCTGTAAGTTTTTCCCCCTTAAATAAATAACCATTCTATTAATCATAGTTCCAAACTGGTGTGGGATTGTTTGTGACTTACGCCTTCATCTTCCCTCCCCTTCAACCCTCTCCCAAGGTCTCCATGCTCCCAATTTACTCAGGAGATCTTGTCTTTCTCTACTACCCTGTAGATTAGATCTATGTATGTCTCTCTTAGGGTCCTCATTGTTGTCTAGGTTTTCTGGAATTGTGATTTGTGCGCTGGTTTTCTTTTCCTTTTTCTTTTTCTTTTTTTTTTTTTTTTTTTTGAGGGTTTATGGATAATCCAGGATTTATAAGGCAGATTATATTGTTTTGCAATACTAATTTGGTTTGAAATAACAAATAATAATTTAAGTGTATTGATTTTGCCTCCCCAGTTAAGTTCTAGACAAAGCAAAGAAGACTTAGTTATGATTACAGATCCAAATATGAATGTCATTTTTATAGACTGAATGTTTGTGTCCCTCTCAAATTCACATATGGAAATTTTTTTCATTCAAATATTTACACTTCCTTCCCTCCTCCCAATCCCCACCCACTCCCTCACTCCCTCTCCTTCCTCCCCCTCCCTGCTTGAGAGAGGGCAGGAAACCCTGGTGGGTTGGTTATCTTTGATTTATGTTTAAGAACTACTTATGAGTGAGTACATGTGATAATTAACTTTCTGGGTCTGGGTTACCTCACTCAGAATGATGTTTTCTAGCTCCATCCATTTTCCTGCAAAATTCAAGATGTAGGGTTTTTTTCTGCTGTGTTATACTCCATTGTGTAAATATACCACATTTTCCTTATCCTTTCTTTAGTTGAAGGGTATTTAGGTTGTTTCCAGGTCCTGGCGATGACAAACAATGCTGCTATGAACATAGTTAAGCACATGTCCTTGTGGCATGATCAACCTTTGGGTCGGAGCTTCATCACGTCTGCCCTGGGGAGCAGCAGCATGGCATCTGTCTGAGGCATCTTACCTCACTTCCTCTTTCTCCCAGCATTCTGTTCTGTTTACTCCACCTACCTATGTTCTAACCTATCAGGCCAAGCAGTTTCTTTATTAACCAATGACCTTCCTTCATCAGCTGTTGTTTTGTTGATCATGTCCTTTGCTTTACGGAAGCTTTTCAGTTTCAGAATGTCCCATTTATTAATTGTTTCTCTTAGTGTTTGTGCTGCTGGGGTTATATTTCGGACGTGGTCTCCTGTGCTCAGGCATTCAAGTGTACTTCCCACTTTCTCTTCTATAAGGTTCAGTGTGGCTGGCTTTATCTTGAGGTCTTTTTTCCATTTGGACTTGAGTTTTGTGCATGGTTATAGATATGGGTCTATTTTCATTCTTTTACATGTTGATATCCAGTTATGTCAGCACCACTTGTTAAAAATGCTTTCTTTTTTCCACTTGATATTTTTTGCTTCTTTTTCAAAAATCAGATGTTCAAAAGTATGTAGATTAATATTCAAGTCTTCGATTTGGTTTCATTGGTCTTCCTGTTTGTTTTTATGGTAATACCAGGCTGTTTTCAGTACTATAGCTCTGTAGTAAAGTTTGAAGTCAGGCGTTGTGATGCCTCCAGAAGTTCCTTTGTTGTACAGGATTGTTTTGGCTATTCTGTGTTTTTTTTTTGTTTGTTTGTTTGTTTGGTTTCTGGGTTTTTTCTTTTTTTTTTTTTTTTTTTTTTT